GAGAGAGAGAGAGAGAGCATTTTTAGAGCAAAGCTAGTCATTGCCATTTATTTCTTGTGTAGCATTTGCTACTTGAATGTTGAGTCCATTTGGAGGAAAAATACACATACTCTGTTCACCTCTGGAATATGAACTGTGCATTCGAATTGTGGTAAGGATCCATACTAAGGCCTTGAAAAAATTTCACTTGCAAAAGCATCATTGATTTATTTTCCAAGATTCATATCCAAGTGTATTCAATGCTTTGATAGTTTTTTGAAAGAAAAATTGTTTCATGCGGGCTGGACTGCATTTCTATAATATACGGTCTAAAGGTATAAAGCATCCATCTTAAAGATAGATGCAAATAGGTGGTCCTTCTAAAAACAAGTGTAACCAACGGTCTAAATGTTTTTTAATATAATTATTATTTCTAATCTTCATTTTTTTTTTTTTTATTCATGATCTCCATGTTAAATATCATATACTCTTTAAAAATTAGGATCAAATTATGTTTAAAAAATATATTTATTACCAAACCCGCATTTCTGCAATATGCGGGTTGGCCGCATAGAAACAGTGTCCTTAAAATTATTTCTATTGTTTCTATATGATCATGTACTGTGACTTAGCCGTCATTTTTTTGGAAAAATTAATGAAATGCACCAAAAACATAAAGTATATAATATTTTGCTCGTTTTCAAATATTCCACGATCATGTGTGTTTTGACGGGATTTTTTAACAAAAAATAGGTAAATTACTAAATAGTTCCTCTCTCTCAAGTATATTTTAATAAATTTTCCCATCTTCTATGTAGTTATAACTTGGTTCCAGTGGCGTATGGTGATTGGTTGCATGCTCCATTAATCAATACTTAAGTGATAATTTTAATAAATGCTGATTAACTAGCACTTGAATAGATTTGATTAATTGATTAATTATGATGTGGATAGAAACGGTCTCTAGCTTTGGACACAAGCAAAGGTTTATGAATTATTGAACAACTACCCTTACCTGCTTGCTTGGTGTTCAAGCCATCAACTTTTTGGCACATAAACAACACAACGGATAATAATGACATTACAAAAGGCTCAGCGACAAATAGTCAGCATATTATTTTGTGTTTAAATAAATATATTTTTTCAAAAAAAGAAGAAAAAAACGCCATTCTTTATTTTTATAGCTCTGTTCATAATTCAAAAGGTAATAATTTTATTTGAAATGTTTTTTCAATTATGAGAGTTCGGTTCGACTTAGAATAAACACAAATAATTGCATTTCGAGTTCCAAAACATTTAGATCTAACTATAAAAAAAACGTTCATGTTCAATTTAAAATGTTACTTCATATAT